AGCTAATGCTACGCCACATGGCCACCACCACCCCACCCCGCCGGACCCCGCCACATCCCTCCCGATCCTCAACACCCTCAACCGCCTCCTAACCTCCCCCACCTCCTCCCCCGCCCTCCGCACGCGCGCCTCCGTCGTCCTCCGCACGCTCGTATCCGACCAGCCCCAGCTCTGCGCCCAAGCCTTCGCGCGCGGCTGCGTCGGCAAGCTCGTGGGCGTCGTGCAGGGCATCACGCCGGGCGATAAGCGGGACGGGTGGGACGAGGGCGAGAGCGCGTGCACGGCTGCGCTGCGCGAGGCCGCGTTGTTGGCGATTGCGTCTATGGCCGTGCTCGACCACGACGTGCGGCGCGCGCTCACCGATGCGCCGCACTCTGCGCTTCTGCCCTGTGTATCGTCGAGTCTGTTTGCGAGCAGCGCGGGCGTAAGGTACGCGGCGTGTCAGTGTGTGAGGGCTTTGGGGCGGAGCGTGGCGGTGGCGCGGACGAGTTTGGTCGATAGTGGATTGGGCGAGCGGGTGTTTGAGGTGTTTGGGAGGGAGGGGGAGGGGGAGTTGGTCGTGGGGGCCGCGTTGATGGCTGTTTGCAGTACGTCTCTCCATCTAGCTCATGCGTATGGGATTGTGCTGATGGAGAGATGATAGATCTAATAGCAGAACACTCCCCCCTCCGCCAACCCTTCCTCGACCGGCACCTCGTCCGCCGCCTCTCCTCCCTCCTCACGCACCCTTCGCAGCCAATCAGACTCAACGCGCTCTGGGCGCTCAAAAATCTCGTATACAAGTGCCCCTCCCCTACGAAGAGGAGTGTTTTGAAAGAGGTGGGCTGGGGCGAGCTGGACCGGGCGCTGGGGGATGCGGATGCGGGGGTGAGGGAGCAGGCGTGGGGCGTGCTGAGGAATTTCGTGGATTGTGAGGAGGATGTTGATGTGGCGTTTTTGGAGCTCGGGACGACGCATCTGCTCGATCGGCTCGCTTATGCACTCTCCCCGCCAAGCACAACAATACCGACGTCGCCGACCCTCCCCACGCATTCATCCTCGCAGAGCCAAGCGGCCGACACGACCGCAACAGACATCCTCCTCCAATCCTCCACCGTCCTAACCAACATATCCAACGCACCAACGCACCACCGCGCCCTCCTCACCCATCCCGCCCTTCTCCAGTCCCTCAGATCCGCCCTCGCCGCCCCACAACCGACCGAAATCCGCCGCGCGCTCGTGCAGGCCACATACGAGCTGTCCCGCTCTACATGGCCCGGCGCGTGCGGCGTGCTGAAGGGGTGCGGGGTGGGCGTGCCGCTGAGGGCGATATGCGATTATGGGGGGAGTTTTACGTTGCCGATGAGTATGACGATGGTGGGTGGGGGAGGGGGGAATGGGGGGTTGGCGGTTGAGAGGGATGTGAGGGATGTGGCGCGGAGGGCGTTGGAGGGGATTAATGATGGGGTGCTTGGGGAGGGGGATGTTGATATCGAGGGGTGAATGGATTGACTTCTTGAGCTTCTTGGATCGTCGATATGTAGTTGTATGCTGTATCATAGAGATCTGGAGATTATGTATAGGTAGCGCCACAACGATGTGTATATATGGACCTACAACCGCGTCGCGCCGAACGCGTTCAGCGCGTCAATGAACTCGCCTCGAACGCCCATGTCCTGATCCCACCACCTCAAGTCTTATACCCATACTTGACCTATTAATTCACAACAATGACGACCCTCTCCCCACCGCCCTCGCTCGCCCAACTCGATCTCACTCGCCAATCGACCTCCTCGCCCGCACCCTTGACGCGCAACCCCGTCGCGCTCCGGCTGTACAAAGTCCTCGGCTCAACCTTTGACGATAATGCCTCGCGCGAGGCGCTGCTTACACTCTCCGAACTATACACTACCCCCTCCAAACCTGGTGCTACCTCTGACGTCAACGGCAATGGAGCCGAAGGAGTAGTAGTAGGGAACGGTTCTGGAGGAGCAGGCGCGCTAGCGTTCCTCGACGGCCCGCCCCCGGGCGAAAGCGCCGCGCTCGCACGGAGGAACTTGCGGCGGGACGTCGAGACGAAGCTGAGCGACGGCGCGCAGAAGTTTCTCAAGGCCTTCGGGGCCGTCGATCGGGTGTGTTCTCCTCCCAGTCCCTCTCCCCTTTACAATATAACGTTGATGGTGATGGGGAGTAGAAGCTGGACACGCTGCAGGCGCACATCAGCGATATGCGCGTGCGATGCGACGACGCGCAGAAGCGGCTCGTCGCGACGAACTCGGCGTGTAGGTCTTTACTCGACAGAGCCGAGTCCCTGCGCGAAGAACGGTACGCTCTCCCTCCCTCTCCCTCCCCACCCTCCCATCGTCAACTAATTTTTAATATAATGTGTGTAGGTCAGACGTCGACCTGCGCCAAACGCTCGCCACGCTCTTCCTCGCGCGCTTCACGCTCGCGCCCGACGAGATCGACGCGCTCGCGTCGCCCGACGCGCAGATCGGCCGCGTCTTCTTCGACGCGATGGATAAGGCGCACCGGATACGCGCCGACTGTCGCGTGCTGATATCGGGCGAGGAGCGGCCTTCGCAGGCAGGGTACGCATCCTTCTCGGTGTACGTAGGGAAGTGCTCATTGGAGGACCGTGCAGGACGGACGTGATGGCCGCGACAGCCGGCTACTTGGAAAAAGCGTACGACAGGCTCTTCAAGTTCGTCTCCCTCGAATTCCGCAACCTCGGGCGCGACGCCGCGCTCGAAGTCGGCTCCAACCTGCGCGAGGGTGTCAAGCGCCTGCGCCAGCGGCCCGAGCTGCTCGGGTGCGTCTCTCCCTCCCCTCCCCCCTCCCACACTCTCCATACGCTAATGGTGATGTGATTGTGAACAGAGAAAGCCTAATGACCCTCGCCCAAACCCGCCGCGCCGCCCTCCTCGCCTCCTTCCTCTCCGCCCTAACCTCCCCAACATCATCCTCCGCGCGCCCGATCGAGCTCCACGCGCACGACGCGCTGCGATACGTGGGCGACATGCTCGCGTGGGTGCACCAGTCCATCGCGGCCGAGCACGAGTTTCTCGAATCGCTGTTCGCGCTGCCGTCCCGACGGCGGA